ATATATTTAAAAATATATAAAAATATATATTTTTTATATTAATTATAATAATATAATATTTAAATAAAAATTAGGTTAAATGTTATTTTTAATCTCTCAATTTTAAAATTTTACATAATTTTTAATATCTCAGTCTTTTATATACTTTTTTCACTTTTCAACTATGAAAAATATATTTTTTCTATTTTTTTGTCAATTAATTTATTATGTTTCTCTAAATAAGTATATTTTCAATCTTTTACTTTTAATATATGTATATTTTTTATCCCTTAACTTTAAATTAAGATATTAAAAATATACATATCTAAATAAATTTAATGAATTAATTAACAGAAAAACTAAAAAAATATTTTTTTTACAATTAAGAGATTAAAAAAATACATAAAAAATTAAAAGAAAAAATTATATAAAAATTTAAATTAAAAGATCAAAATTAACCTTTAACCTAAAAAATTTTTCTCCTCAAATTAACTTTGCTTGAAAAAAAGGTTGGAAGGCAGGCAATCACATTAACATTTTGAAAACGGCCGGCGAATGACACTGACGAAAGAAAGAAATATAAGGCGAGAGAGATATGCCACACGCGTAGGGATGGCAAAGGGTCCTCACGGGGGCGGGGACCCTCTCCCCATCCCCATCCCCGTCAATGACGGGTACGGGGATTCTACGGGGATTTTTGGTGGAGGATAAAAAATAGCCTCCGTCCCCATATCTGCGGGGAATGATAGGTCCCCGCGGGTATTCGGAATCCCCACCAAATAAAACTCGATGCTCGTTTTTTGTTTGAGAAATTAACTGAAGATAGAATGAATTAAGAACTTGAATGAACCTCAAAACAACAATACGATTATCGTTTACTGCAAATGCGAGAAAGAAGCTGCGCAGGCATGTAAACAATGAAATCGCATTTTGACAATCTTGTGAACAATCAGAGGGAAAATGAAATGGGAAATAATAAGGCTAAAAGAATGAGATCTACTTTACCTCAAAATAAATCATCAAGCACAGATACTTAAACACTCACAAATACTCACAATTCAGGCTCAGGCAAACTGCAAGTAGCTAATTGAAGAATAGAAACAGAGCTATGGGCACTACCTTTCGAAGGTTACCGAGAATGATAGGTTGAAGGGAATTGACCGATTAAAGAACAGAAACAAAGCCAATGAGCTACAGCGTAGAGGATAGGAGACTGGAGTCTAGAGAGAAGGAATCGCAGAGCAGATTCACAAATCTTAGAAATTTGAAATAGTTCTTCTACTTCTAGGTTACTAGCAAATTGGGTTGGGCTTGGGCAATTAAGTTTAAGAAAATTATGGGTTGAATTGGACTATATAATTAAGTTTGGAAAAACTGAAAAAA